TTCTGCCCCTACGGCATCCGCTGCCATTTCGTGCACAACGCCGAAGACGATCACGCGCAATCCCGACCCCAGACCTCCAACCCCGCTGTCCAACGGCCTCCCCTCCTCAAGCAGAGCTTCAGCTTCGCGGGGTTTCCCACAGCTCTAGAACCCCCCCTAGCGCCTTCCGCGTTCCTGCGCACACCTTCCGTTTCGACTCCGACATCGACTGCCATGTCCGACCTTCTCTCCCTGGCCTTCCCCGATATAGACCCCAACACCCTTCTGGACCAGGCCCGAGAGTCGCAGCCTCAATTTCTGCCCTCTCCTGACTCTGGTTTCTCGCACTCGGGACTGACGCCCACTTTGTCGCCAACCCAGCTCGCCCCTTCCCAGCCTGAGGCCTGCTTGCGACAGAGTCCCACCGGCGGGGCTTCCCTAGGCCTCCGAAGCCTATCCCACACCTCTCTCTCAGACCACGAGGGTGGCAGCTGCAGTTCATCCAGCAGCATGAGTGGCTCCGAATCGTCTTTCGGACCCGAAGCCAGCGGGCGCAGGCTTCCCATCTTCAGCCAGCTTTCGGTACCCGATGACAGCGTCTACGATGAAGGCAGCAACTCCGGCACAAGCTTCTTCCTGTAGACTGTCGCTCCTCACAGGGACTGAACTGTATACTGTGGTATACCTACTGTATTATATGGCAGATACTTGACATTTTAGTTAAGCTCAGAGTGAAACATACTGTTTGAAGGTACTGAATGTTGAAATGATTCTTTAAGTGGGGTTTCATGTGCTTTTAAGTGGAGTGATTCTCCAGGTTTTATTTTTGATGACTGAAAAGACAAGTGGGGAAAATAATTAACTTGGAAAGTTCTGACATTGAGATGTTGTTTGGTAACATATGAAGCTGTTAACTTTTAAGATGCATTTAGCAATCAGCTATTTACAAAATTATTGTACTGAAATAGCCAAAGAGAGGTTATGACAAGGTCTTTTTCAATATTTGAGAGATTCATTGTACTTGTTCTAACTAGAGACCTTTTTTTTTCCTTCTTTAGTTTGTATACTTCCATTTGTAAACTGACTGTTTCTGACATTAGAATTGAATTTATTTGGTTGTGTTAGTCTGCAATATCGTTCTTCCAGCTCCTTTATTTTTATTTTTTGAGATTAGTGTTTGGTTCATTCCCAGACCTACTTGCCTTAAGTTTCCGAGGATCTGTACGCAGGCCTCTGGAAGTGCACAGTTGGAGCTTTACTTGGAATGAGTTGCCTGTGTCATAGTTTTTGGTTGTGTAGCTGTTGTTGTTATTGTGAGTTTAGGCAAATCAATTTATTACTGTATGAGCCTTTAGTGGCCTTGTGTTTGGTTTAGTTATTATTATTATTATTATTATTATTATTAT